ACTTGGTTTCCTATCTGTAAAATTGAGAAAGAAATGTTCCCTAACTAGTGGCAAGCCAATTAAGTAAATACTAAGTGTTTTCCTTATGATTATGTGTAAATAAATAGCACTTTATTGAAATTTAGCAATTCACTTTATGACCACATCAAATGGCTAATGTTTTGAAAAAGAAAAAGGACATTTTTGAGTGGCGAAGTTATGGATTTCTAAAACATTTTTTTCTCTTTATTTCCTCCATATTTTCTGTTATCTATAATAAATATGCATTGTATTTTATAATGAAAAATATGGCTATATCTTTAATACTAACTAAATCTTCAATGTTCTATGCTTTACAGAGGAAATTGTCTTTTTACCACAAAGGCCTTACATGGAAAAGAAGCAAAAATTACAAAAATACAGAACCACTTCCAGGAGCAAAATATGCTCTTGTAGTTTTGTTTTATTGATAGGAGCCAGGACTGTGCAGGAAATGCCTCATTTGTGGACAATTTCGGGTGACTGCCTCCAACCAGTAGGGTTGCAGGATGGGGGGCTGGACTTTAAGTACTTTTAATCTTTGTTACTCTGTGAATACACAGGGAGTTGCTCTGCGACTTAGACTTTTCCCAGAAGGAAAGTCCCCTCCCAATGCCCTTGTGGATGAAGGAAGCAACTCCAAAGTGTTCTCAGAATAGTGTTAGACCAAGGTAAACCTGAAACAAGAATTTACAAGCCACCAGCATTCCGTCACTGGTTGACTTTGCAAAATTTATTTTGGCCTTTGACCCTCTGAGCAACATCTACTAATTGCTGAATACAACGAAGCACGTTTTTTGAGCAGACAGCACGTGGGAAATGAGGCCAAAAAATACTATACCGCTCACACCTCATTTCCAATATTTTCTGCCCCAAAGTTCATTTCCTTTGAGGAAGTTTATTGCTATTGCAACCTTTTTTGCTGCTTATCACCAAAAATCCCTCTGTTAAATGCCTTATTCAACACTCCAAACTGAGTGGGATGCTGCAATGAGAGCAATATCGATAGCAATGAAATAATTAATATTTGCTAATTTTTAAGCACAGACTATGTACGAGGAATTACGCCAAGTGTTTTGCATGTATGATCTATTTAGTCCAATCGGCCTCAATCAGCTTCAAGGCAAGGAAATAGATTCTTCTCTAGAGCCTTCAGAAGGAACACAGTTCTAAGGACGTCTTGAGTCTAGCCTTATTTTGGACTTGTGGTCTCTAGAATAGCAAGTTAATAAATTTGTTTTGTTTAAGCCACTGAGTTTGTGGTAATTTGTTATAGAAGCAGTCGGTAACTGATACACCCATACTGCAACACCTTTCCTTTCTCCCCAAAGCATACAGCAGTGTCTTCCTAAAGGATGAATGAAAACACCACCTGGCACCTCTCCTGGTTCCCACAGTCTTAATATCTCCAGTGTTAAGGAATTCATGGGGACGAAAGCAGAGTCTGATTTATTTACTATTTCTTAAAAGCAGTTTTGCAATGCTTTAGTGCTATTTATATGTATTGGCAAAGCTAATTATAACATTAAAGTAAATATGTAGGTATAAAGTAAGACAACCATGTAAATGTACTGATACGTATCAGCCAACGTATAACACCAAGCAAAACCAGTCGTTACTCAACCAGCCCTTCCTTCAAAATGTTTTTTGCTTAAAATTCTGAAAATTTATTCTTATATGAAATGGTGATTTGTCAGCACTATTTTTTTTTTTTTT